GAGCAAAAAAGAGCTCAGGGACAGCACCAAGGCTCAAGTTCAAGCCCCATGACCAGGTACTAGTGACTCATACATGTAATCCTACTCAAGAGGGCTGAGATCTGAGGACCACAGTTCAAAGGGAGCCAGATAGTAAAGTCTGTGAGATGCTTATCGTCAATTAGCTACCAAAAAAAAAAAAAAACCAGAAGTGGAGCTATGGCTCAAGTGACAGAGCACTAGCCTTGAGCTAAAAAGCTCAGAGACAATACTCAGGCCCTGAGTTCAAGCCCCAGGACTAGCACAAAAAAGAAAAAAGAAAAAAAGAAGAAGGGGGGGAAAGAGTATGTTCTGCTAGGTAACAGTAGCTCTCACTTGTAATCTGAGCTGTTCAGGAGACTGAGATCTGAGGATCCCTGTTCCAAAGCCAAACTAGGCAGACAAACCCCAAAGACTATTCTGCAATTAACAAGCAAAAAAAGGCTAAAAAGTGGATGTGTGACTCAAGTGGTAGAGCCCAGCCTTGAGCGAAAAAAACAAAAGGACATGAATTAAAGTCCCAGTACAAGCAAAATTGTATGTGTGTCTATGTCTGCGTGTTTCATCAATAATGAATGCCTCAAGCTCATGTCAGAATAGGTCTATGAAAAGCTCATATTAGAATGTCAAAATTATAGTAGAGATTTTTTTTTTGCTTCCTAGCAGTAATACTTACTTTAAATCTGTGCCCCGATTATTTTAAGAACTTTTAAGGTGATAATTTTTAAATAGAGGGAAAACAATCTATCTTACATATCTAAGATTCCCCTCTCTCCCTTCTATTACTATGTAAACTTGCTTTGGTAATGCAACAGCAATATCATTTCAGTGCTCTGTTAATCTTACAGTTCAATGAAATAGTTAGGCCTTAAAATAAAATTAAAAATCTATGGAGTTTTAACTAATCAAATATTTCATCTAATAGGGTGCCTGTTTTCTTAAGAAATCACATTAAATCTAACAATATAGGGATATATGTGCCCGGAAGGTACTATATTAGGTAAAATATAAATAATTTCAAATGAACATAGCAAACAGTAGCCCTGATGATCTTTTTAAAAAGTCAGACTTCTTATATGCCAAAGATATTTTAAAATGATGTCTCATTGTAAATTAATGGTGCTCTTTGATAACTGTAACAAACACAACTAATACAGCTATCAGATATTAGCCATTTCAGAAATGTTTTATTTGAGATACAGAAATAATCAAAGAGGGACTAACAAATGAGAATCTTTTATTGATATCTTTAAAGTTCTATTTTGTAGCTATTTGGCTACATACTCATGTAGTCTTTTAAAAATATGAACGTATGTCATAAAAGTATACTCTGATGACAAATTTTAAAATAAATATATTGGTAATTTTGGTTTTTGTCATGATTATCTGGCCCAAACCATGTTTTCCAAAAGAAACTAGGTAAAACAGCACCCATTAAAAAAAAAAGGAAGAAGAAAAGAAGGAGGAAGAAAGGAGGGGAGGGGAGGGGAGGGAAGGGAAGGGGAGAGGGGAAGGGAGGGAAGAAAGAACAAGGAAGGAAGCAGGAAGGAAGTCTACAAATAGGGGAAAAATCTGTATAATACAAGGAATTATTTTTTGAATTTTGTGTACTGTCTTTGGGTTTACTGGTCATAGAGTCATTCAAAATTAATATAAACTGTGAGCCAATTTCTCCAGTACACTTTCTCTCACATCTTAAAACAAGTGATACACTGGCAATGAATCCAAATCATAGAATCAAGTCTGTTAATAATCCTATCCTGCTCTAGGCGATGAAGTCACAGAGCCTAAGATAAGCAGTCTTTTCCCAAGGAGCCCATGATTTTGCTACAGAAATAGGATATATAAATAACAATAATACAAAGTAGAATGATCCAGGTGCCAAAGAGGTGTTTCAAATAGGTACTTAGGAATTTTAAGACCAGAATGACCAACAAAGACTGGGGCAGTTGGAAAGGCATCAATACAGTAAGTAGAAGCCCGAACTTGAAATACAGATACGACTCAGAGCAAAGGAAGAGAAAAAACATTCCAGATTGGAATATCTTTCACAATGCTTACAAAGGCATGAAGGTTGTAGGAACAGTAAGTAAATCATATTTGGCTTTGGCAAATGGCTTCATGTATGAGAATAGCAAGGTTGGGGCCAGAACACCATTTTATGTCTTAAATTTTTTGAAGTAATGAGCAGAGATTAGATCAAGTCAACAGCAACAAAATACTCTACCTCCAAAATAATTAATTAGGCTCTCTATATAACTACAATGCCAAGTTTTTAGAATTAGGTATTTGATTTAGAACTTGGGCAGGCAAAGGATTTAGATTAATACTTTTTATCAAGCAACTATTTTCAAAGCTACATTTTCATCATCCTCTTTTGTTCAGCTTCTTCATAGGTGTGATAAATTATACCCTTTATTTTAGAATACTTGACCTGGAATACATATTATTTCTGTACAGATCTTTCACCCATGTATAGGGCTTGACGTTGTTACTGAAGCAGTAAGTTTCACTCAGGGAATATGGGCAGGCTACTTTAAAAAGAAAGCTGTTTAGGATGTATTCAATATTACTATTCTCAAAAGTCCTCGCAGTCTTTCGTGAGGAAAAAACAACTCCATTGTAACTCTCAACACTGCCTTTTCAAAACTGACTTATACGTCAATTTTAATACTAATACAAAACCTTATCCTAGGTGGTATCTGACATTGTGCATGTTATTTTCCAAACATCCA